CGCAAAAAGGCTGAAAACATCTGAAATCAGAATGCCTCTCCTCCTTCAGGGGATTGCAGCTCCTCATCAGCAAAGGAACAAGGCCTGATGGAGAATAAGTGTGATGAATTGTCAGAATCAGGCTTCAGAAGGTGGATAATAAGAAACTTCTGTGAGCTAAAAGAACATGTTCTAACCCAATGCAAAGAAACTAAGAACCTTGAAAAAAGGTTTGACGAAATGCAAACGAGCATAGACAATTTAGAGAGGAATATAAGTGAATTAATGGAGCTGAAAAACACAATACGAGAACTTCGTGAAGTATGCACAAGTTTTAACAGTCGAATTGACCAAGCAGAAGAAAGGATATCAGAGGTCGAAGACCAACTCAATGAAATAAAATGAGAAGACAAGATTAGAGAAAAAAGGTAAAAAGGAATGAGCAAAGTCTCCAAGAAATATGGGACTATGTGAAAAGACCTAATCTACGTTTGATAGGCGTACCTCAATGTGATGAAGAGAACGAATCCAAGCTGGAAAATATTCTTCAGGATATTATTCAGGAAAACTTTCCCAACCTAGCAAGGCAGGACAATATTCAACTCCAGGTAATACAGAGAACACCACAAAGATATTCCTCAAGAAGAGCAACCCCAAGGCACATAATCGTCAGATTCACCAGGGTTGAAATGAAGGAGAAAATGCTAAGGGCAGCCAGAGAGAAAGGTCAGGTTACCCACAAAGGAAGCCTATCAGACTCACAGCAGATCTCTCAGCAGAAACCCTACAAGCCAGAAGAGAGTGGGGACCAATATTCAACATCCTTAAAGAAAAGAACTTTCAACCCAGAATTTCATATCCAGCCAAACTAAGATTCATAAGTGAAGGAAAAATAAAATCTTTTGTGAACAAGCAAGTACTCAGAGATTTCATCACCACCAGGCCTGCTTTACAAGAGCTTCTGAAAGATGCACTACACATAGAAAGGAACAACCAGTATCAGCCATTTCAAAAATATACCAAAAGGTAAAGAGCATCAATATAAAGAAGAATCTACATCAAGTAATGGGCAAAACAGCCAGCTAGCATTAATGGCAGTATTAAACTCACATATATTAATATTAATCCTAAATTTAAATTGTTGACTAAATGCTCCAATCAAAAGACACAGACTGGCAAATTGGATAAAAAGCCAAAACCGATCGGTACGCTGCATCCAGACCCACCTGATATGCAAGGATACACAAAGACTCAAAACAAAGGGATGGAGGAAGATTTACCAACCAAATGGAGAGCAATAAATAAATAAATAAAAAGGAGTTACAATTCTCTCCTCTGTTAAAATAGACTTTAAAGCAACAAAGATCAAAAGAAGCAAAGAAGGACATTACATAATGGTAAAAGGATCAATGCAACAAGAAGAGCTAACGATCCTAAATATACATGCACCCAATACAGGAGCACCCAGATACATAAGGCAAGTTCTTAATGACTTACAAAGAGACTTAGACTCCCACACAATAATAGTGGGAGACTTTAACATCACATTGTCAATATTAGACAGATCAATGAGATAGAAAATAGGATATCCAGGACTTGAACTCAGACCTGGAACAAGTAAACTTAATAAACATTTACAGAACTCTCCACCCCAAATCCACAAAATATACCTTCTTCTCAGTACCACATCATACCTACTCTAAAAGTGACTACATAATTGGAAATAAGTCACTCCTCGGTAATTGCATAGCATTTCACAGGTTTAAATGAAATATTGATTGGCTGCTTGTTAGTTATTTTCTTATCTCATTTTTTAATTCACATATCTATTATTAAACACAATTATAGGCATACACATTTAGGCTGCATTCTATTCTGGGCAATAAAGCAAGACTCCCATTCTCTCTCCCTCTTTCTCTTCCTCTTTCTTTCTCTTTCATTTTTTTCCTTTCTTTCTCTCTTTCTTTTTTTCTTTTTCTTTCTTTTTTCCCTTAAAAAAAAGATATAGCACTATTTAAATTTAAAATAAATGTAAACTTTCATTATAATTACTGTTATGTTCAAGGCCCCATGCTAGATGCTCTGAGAGATTAAAGTAAAAAGAGACACAGTTTCCACATTTATGTAGTTTACTATCCAATTAGGAACACTAGCTGCAGTTCCACATAAAGTCAAATATTATTCCCCCAGAAGAAAACACACAGTCCAGTGCAGCAGCACAGACCAAACTGTTAAACACAAAAGCCATGGGGAACTGGATGACTTAGAGCAGAAGAGTATTTTTATAAAAGGTGTCAGTCTCACATTTATTTCCCTTCATCTGATGCTTATCTCTTTGACATGATGAAAAAAGGCTCAAGGCAGATTGTATAATAAACACATCGCAATGGGCCAGCCCTATGTTAATCCTGCAGTGGTTTAGCCATTGGTGACTGCTACATGACGCAAATGCTGATGCTGGATTAAGACTCCTGACAACAGAGATGGGTTGATTTGTGAGTGTTCTAAGAAGTGGGCCAACCCATCAATATCTGAAGTCTGTAGAGAGTTGGCAAATGCGTCAGCTGATTTTTTTTTTTAAATTTTTTCTGAGATTTACAGAGAGTTTCAGGCTGTGATTATCCAGCTTAAGAGGTAATTCTGTAAAAGAACTGGTACAAAACAGTGTGTGTCCCACTGCCAAATGAATACGATAGTTAACAAGTACTCTGTGAGATCAAGGACAAGGCTGCTTATTACGGTCTGGGGTGATCGCAGAAGGCCTTGCGAAGAAGTGATTATGAAAGGGCCTTCAACAAGAATTTAAGATAATCCTTGCACTAATTAATCCCTTTTAAGTCAAATATTAATTCTCCCAACTTAATTTTTAAATTGGTCACTCTAGATTTTTACTTATAGACTGTCCCTAAATGGTGCTCTGTAACCAAAGATAATTTTTTGGCTAAATTATGAATTTAGTAGGTTTCCATGAGTTGATCTGAGAATACAGCATCCATGGCATGGCTTATGCGGGAAAAGGGGAGCTATTCTGAACTTCAGACAATCATTTACAAACCCATTTTTGAAAACTCTGCTTTGACTGGTTCTTTCTTTCAACAAGTATTTATTAAGCACTCTTGGTATGTCAGACACTTGTTGCAGGCACTGAGGTTACATGAGTGAACAAAACAAAAATCTCTTCCCTCATGGAGCTGACATTCTAGAGAAGAGATAGCTAATAAGCATAATAAATAATTGGTATAGTGTGTTGGAATAAACAAAAGGTAGAATAGGGTAAAAGGGATGGGGTGGGTGGCCATTTTAAATAGGATGGTCTTCAGGTGACATTTAAGCCACGTGTGAAGGCAGCTGGCCAAGGCTACCAACCACATCGGGAAAAAGCATTTAAGGCAGAAGGAAGAGCCAGTGAGTGCAAAGGCCATGAGGCAGGAGTTTACCTAGTGAGTTGAAGAACAGCAGGAAGGCCAGTGTAGGTACAGATGGGAGAGAAGAGGGAGAAGAAGATGAGGTCAGAGAGGTGACTCATATAGTGGCAGGAGGGGACTTGCCTGATCATACAGGGCCTCTTGCAGGCTATTCCAGAGCTTTTGAGAAAATGAGACATCACTTGTATTAGGCTGGCTTAAAACAGGGCCATCTGTATGAAAATAATTCCTCTCTAAATTGTCTTCTTAACCTTAAGGGTGTATAAAAATCACCCAGGATCTTGTTAAAATTCAAATTCTGATTTAGTAGGTTTGGGGAAAGTCCTGAGATTGTGCATCTTTATCAAGCTTTCAGGTGATATCAGGCTGTTGGTCCACAGGCACACTTTGAGTAATGAGCTCCCAGGGGCTTTGGGGCTTCTCTCCACTACCTAGTTACAAGGGCCTTTTTGTTCCCTTTGAACCTGAAAAGACCACCTCAAAAGGTTTTTCTTTATATTTTTACATTAGCCACAGGTCCCTCAGTATTCATGGTCCTATTACCTCGCTAGAAAGAGCGTAGTCCAAGGCTACCTCCGGGACGATGAGGCAGGTTGTCCGGCTGTTTCCATGCACAGTGTAAGAAGTTTCTGGGGCTTCTGCATTGCCACTTGGAGGCTCTGCTTCTGAACTTCAATCTGCTCCCTGAATAATAATTTCACCTCTGACCACATTCTTGTCTTACTCCAATTTCAAGAGCTCTAATACAGGTCTTCACTTATGCTCCTATGTATAGGAGCAGCTCCGTATAGTCCAGCTCTGTAAACTGAGGCAGCCGGGGGACTCCGGTGATGTTCCCAGGCAGAAGAGGTGGTCAGGTGGCTGACAGAAGGCTGTTTGTTAAGGAGCAAGGCCGGCTTCGGAAGAGTCAGCCTGATAATTTACAGTGGAACAAGTCTGGAAGGACTTGCCATTTCCAAATACCAGGCATAGGATACGGAGCCCCATGGGCTTGAATTTGAATTGTGCTTCCATCCCTTACTGTGTAACCTAGGGAATGTGCTCAGGTGTCCTGAGCTGCATTTTTATTATCTGGAAAATGGAAATGATACCAATACCTCTTTCGTCAACTGAGACAATGCATTTAAAACACCTAGTAAAGTGCTTGGCACAAATGATACAAAATACTAGTTGCTATTGTTTTTATAATTTCTACTACCATCCACTACGTACCAAATGGCTTTGAAGACCGGCATTATAGCATCCACTTTTACATGCTCTGGAGTTACCAGAGCAAATCTCTCAGGAAAGGGGTTCAAAGAGAGAGACACCCAGGCCCGAGGACCTTCTTCATGACAGCTGTCACAAGAGATAACTGGAGAAGCTGAAGATGTTTAGTTTAGAAAGCAGGTGATGGGGGACAGATGGTGATGACTCTTAGGGCTGCCTTGTTCACCAAGACCCTGAAGGCACAATGAGCCCGCAGGGAAGAGATGAAAGGGCAGCACCCCTCCCCTTCCCCTGACGCATCCCCACGCAGTCAGAAAAACTTGCTGAGAGCGAAAGCGAGTCCGCGCGAGAGTTGGGGGTGGGAGTGCCCGCGGGGGTCGTCTCGTGCGCAGCCGCGGCGGCCGCGCCAATCACGGGGCGCATCCCGTCCTCGCGCGACGGTGCAGTCGTACGGTCGTGACGTCGGCGGTTGCAGTGGAGAGACCCGCTCGGTCCCGACAGCGAGCTGGCGTCAGGAGCCGCAGGGTCACAGCGTGGTTTTGAAGCCGCATCCGCCGCCACCATGAGCGGCCGAAGTCGGGGTCGAAAATCCTCCCGCGCCAAAAGCCGGGGCAAAGGCCGTGCCAAAGCCCGAGTCCGCCCTACTCCTGACGACGCCCCGCGCGACCCGGACCCTTCACAGTACCAGAGTCTCGGGGAGGACATCCGGGCGGTACAGGTGCAGGCTGGCGCGGGGTGGGGTGGCCTGGAAACCGCTGCGTCCGCGCAGCTCCTCCGGCCTGGGGAGGAGGCCGCTTGCCGTCTCCCCCTGGACTGTGGCCTCGCGCTGCGGGCTCGAGCTGCGGGGGACCGCGGGCAGGCCGCGGCCAGTTCCGGCCCCGGGAAGGCAGTATCTTTCTCGGAGCGCCTGGTCGCAGACACTGTCTTCGTGGGAACAGCGGGAACCGTGGGAAGGCCGAAAAATGCCCCCCGCGGTGGAAACCGGCGTGGCCCTGCCGGGAAGAAGGCCCCGGAAACGTGTAGCACCGCGGGGAGGGGGCCTCAGGTGATAGCTGGTAGGAAGCAGAAGAAAGGGGCAGCAGGGGAGAATACCTCCGTCTCAGCCGGGGAGGAAAAGAAGGAAGAGAGAGATGCAGGGTCGGGGCCCCCAGCGACGGAAGGCAGCATGGATACGCTGGAGAACGTGCAGCTGAAGCTGGAGAACATGAACGCGCAGGCGGACAGGGCCTACCTTCGGCTCTCGAGGAAGTTTGGGCAGTTGCGACTGCAGCACTTGGAGCGCAGGAACCACCTCATCCAAAATATCCCAGGCTTCTGGGGGAAAGCATTTCAGAACCACCCCCAGCTAGCATCCTTTCTGAACAACCAAGAAAAAGAGGTGCTGAGCTACCTAAGCAGCCTGGAAGTGGAAGAGCTTGGCCTTGCCAGATTGGGCTATAAAATCAAGTTCTACTTTGATCGCAACCCATATTTCCAAAATAAGGTGCTCATCAAGGAATATGGGTGTGGTCCTTCTGGCCAGGTGGTGTCTCGTTCTACTCCAATCCAGTGGCTCCCAGGGCATGATCTCCAGTCCGTAAGCCAGGGAAACCCAGAAAACAACCGTAGCTTCTTTGGGTGGTTTTCAAACCACAGCTCCATTGAGTCTGACAAGATTGTGGAGATAATCAACGAGGAACTGTGGCCCAATCCCCTGCAGTTCTACCTTTTGAGTGAAGGGTCTCGTGTAGAGAAAGGAAAGGAAAAAGAAGGCAGACAAGGTCCAGGAAAGCAGCCAGTGGCAACTCCTCAGCCTGGGGTGAGCCAGTCCAACTGATCCTGCACAAGTCTCCCTGCTGCCACCTGCCGGACTGTTCCTGGTTGACGACGTTTTTGGCGCTCTGCCTTCTCTTCATGTTGGCCTCTGTGTACTAGACTCTTTGGACTTTAGTTACAAGAATATGGCATTTATGATCACGTTCTTTTGCCTCCTCATGGCTTCTTGCTTTTCCATGTCAGTGTCATATGTTATGTGATCGCACCTGGACTGTTTAAATGTTAAGCACACATGCTTTAGATGTGTGCTGCCTTTTATCTACATTGCCTGGACCTTGTTCTTGGCTCTGGCCTTCCCCACTTGTCTTTAACATGGACACTCATGAGTCATCCTCCACGACGACCAGTGCATCTTCAAACTCTGCTCCTTCGGGGCCAGTGACTTGCTGGGCTTTGTGTTCATGTTGCCCATGCATGTCATCTATGCAAGCGTTTCCATTGCCACTGCAGAATGAAGTCAGTGCACATGGTATTGGTCATCAGCCAGAACTTACTGTTCTGTGGGTCTGGGGTTACTAGCTAAGATGTCACCTACTTTGTCTCTGGCTTTGGCCTGTGGTCCATGATACTCATCCTGCTTGATGTTCTGCAGAATGGCACTTGACTACTGGGCATGCATGAGGTTAAGGGCAAGAAACAGTATGCCATGTGTTCTATACCATCATGTGTCTCTTCCTGTTTCTGGGGCCTTCTGCTGGTGAACTTTCATCAAGGTCTGTGCCATGCCCTGTCACTATCAAGCCATTAAGTTTTGTCTGGGTTGCTATCAGCCTCAGTTGGTTTCCTGATCAACAAGGACCTCAAGAACTGCCTGTGGACCAAGGCTCCCTGCCAGTGCATGAGACACACACCTACCCTCCCCAGCCTTCCAGGAACTCTACTGGCTGCCAGACTGTTGGGCAGGCTGATATGTGTGGACCTGTGTTCACTGTCATGCTGTGGCTCCAGGTGAGGGTGAGGACTGGGCCTATATGGAATCCAGCCAGATATCTTTGTCAACTTCCCTCATTCCCTTCTAAGACAGGAGCAGAGTGCCATAGTAGGGGTTCTGGAGAAGAGGTTATTTCTGATCTGTGGGCCTCTACTTGCTTGACTTCAGGTCACTCATACTTCTTACTTGGCTTGCCTGCCTTCCACCATCCCTCATTTCCTCCCTCTCTTCATCTCTCCCTTTCCTGGTAGCCTCCTTTCCTCCCCTTCTGCCTTCACCCTTCCTTCCTTATTCCTTTTTATTTTGTTTAAATAGTACCACAGAGAAAAAAACTGAAAAACCACGGTTTTCTACATACAGCTAGGGAGATAGCTGAGAACTTGGCACTGTGCACAAATATTAGGCTGAAAGAGAGTTGAGGAAACCAGAAGTCCGAGTGGGTCTGCTGGCAGACCCTGAACCTGTCTCCAGGGCTCACTCTGCAGTTCTGAAGTTGAAAATCCTTTTCATGCCTATCATCTGCTCGAGTTACAAACCCCAAGGCGGCCATGTCATAGACTAGTGTTTACTCGTTTCCACTTTGTTTTAATTCTCCCTAACACCCAAGTGTCTCCTGCTGTTTCCTCCTCTGTGGTAGCTTCTGGCCATCTGGACCTCAGCGCCCAGCTTTCCCACTTTTCAGCAGTCCTTTGCTCTCTTTGCTTCTACCTCAAGTAGCTCCAGGAGTAGGCTTTCGTCTCCAATATGGAGCATTGTAAGCTTCTCCTGGGGGATGGGCAGAATCTGTTTTGGATTTCCAGGTTATTTCCAGTGGATGTAAAAGCAGAGCTGGGCCCTTCCCTCTCTTATCCCTGAGGGTGGGGAAGAAGGACTATAGCTACACTTGTTCTTCCTACCTTCCCTTTTCTTAGGGAGGCCTCATTTTAAGTTCCTCAAGAGAGTCCTTGACTTAAAGTTGTAGCAGGGGTGTGGCTAGGCAGGGGATTCGGAGCCAAACTGTCTGGTAGGCATGAGCCTGGTATGGAGCAGGCCTGGAAAATCAGACAGAAATGGCTTGAGAAGCCGCGGGGGAACATGCCTGCCTGTGAGTGACCTCCCTAGCTTAGAAAAGGAGAATTGAAGGGGTTGTGAATATGGACAAATAGGATGCCTAGTTGAGGGTGTTCCCAACGTTCTGTCCAGTCTCATCATTAGATTTTATAAGCTACAGAGACAAACCAGAAACAGAATAATTATACTTTGGATGCTTTCTTTTTTGTTCTAGGTGTGGCTTTGTACATGTAGAAGATTAATGCTATATGCTGCACATTTTGCCTTTAAAGTCTTACCAGTTTCCCCATTTTAGTTTAATGGGAAAATAGAGCTGTGCAAGTCTGCTTTTTGTTGTTATTATTTTTTTGCTCTTTATTATCAACATTTTCAGACATGCACAGAAGTGGAGGGGAACTTGGACCCCATGTGCCCATCACCTGGCTGCATCACTTATCAATTACGGTCAATCTGGTTTCATTTGTATCTTTTTCATTTCACCTGTATTGTTTATTGAAAATCCAAGCCACTATGCCAGTGCAACTGTGACTACTTGGGGAGATTGGTAGTCTTTTGGTGGTGGTAGTGATGGGATGCACTATCATAATCATATCAGGTCTGCTTTTTGCTTTTATCGTTAACGACATTCCAGAGATGGGCCTTAGAAATGTGTTTTAAGAATTAACAAGGAGTCTCAAAAAGAAGTGAGAGGGATTCTTCCTTTCCCTTGTATCCACAAAAGAAGAGAGAGCCTGTAAAACTCTTTCAAAAATTCTGATATGATAAGATACTTGAGACCTTTCACCAGAATGTCAGTCTTTTTTTTTTCTGTGTAACATGAAGACTTGCCGTTAGAATTGTTATCAGCTTGTACTGGTCTCATAGCTCTGGTTTTGGAAGAATAATTTGGAAATTGTTGCTGTGTTCTGTGAAAATAACCTCCCCAGAATAATCAGTAACTGGTTGTTGTACTCGGTAATTTGACACCCTGTTAATAATGCAATTATTTCTGTGTTCCTAAACAGTATAAATAGTTGTAAGTTTGCATGCATGATGGACAAATAAAAACCTGTATCTCTGTTATATTTCTGATTTTCAAAAAAGAATTGGAAGGTTGTTAAACAGAGGCTGGGCAGTTGAGAGGATATATACATTGGCCTAGATAAGTGATTCCCAGGCCTCAGACCCTTGCCTGAATAGATACACAAAAAATACATAAAATTTTGATTTCTAGGCCTTTTTCCCAAATATTGAGATTATATGATTCTGAGAGGAAGTCAGGTAGCTTAGTTTTTAACATGCTCTCTAGTTGATTCAGAAGCACTGAACTCCCGTTAGAATAATCTAGATTCTAGTGGGAATACAGTGCTTCTCAAATTTTAGAGTTCATCTGAATTGTGTGGGGAATCCTGTTAAAATGTGCATTCTGATTTAGTAGTCTGGGAAGGAACCTGAGATTCTGCATTTCTAATGAGCTTCCAGATGATGACAGTGCTGGTGGTTTGTGAACTGCACTTTGAGTGGAAGGGGGGGTGACCTTGAAGGCCCTTTTAAACTTGAATAATAGTGCTCAATCTCTGTTGAACACTGGAATTGTCTGGGAAGCTTACAGAAACACTACCAGAGCTCCACACAAAGACCAACTACATTGGGATAAGGGGAATGGGATAAGGGGAAGGTCTGGGTATAGGTATTTTAAAAACTTCCCAGGTGATTCTAGCGTTTAGCCAAGAGTTGAGAACTACATCCTCTGATGCTGTTCACTTCAGATCCATAACAAGGATCATTTCCCATTAATCAGGAGAGGCAGTGGCAGACCACCAAGTGCCACACTAAGTTGCCCAGCAGAAAATGGACAAAATTAGAGGTGGGTGGTTATTGACAAGAAAATAAAATTGGCTTATATGATGAAGGGTTTTTATAAATACGCAATGTTCAGGGCATAGTAGGTGCTCCAGTGTTGAATGAATGAATTTTAAAGCACTACTTATATTCTGGGCATTTGAATTTGGTAATTTGTGAAGTGGGCCACATTTGTTTCATAAGGAAATCTGTCAGTTTTCTGGGGCTGCCATAACAAAGTACCACAAACTGAGTAGCTTAAAAGCAGGAGTTTATTTTCTCAGTTCTGGAAATTCAAGATCAAGGTAACAGCAGGGTTGGTTTCTTCTGAGGACCTCACTCAGCTTATAGATAGCCTCCTTCTCTCTGTATCTTCACGTGGTCTTGTGTGTGTGTGTATGCCCTAATCTCTTATAAGGGTACTAGTCATCTTGAACTGGGGCCCATTCTAATGAGCTCATTTAACTTTAATTTCCCTTTAAAGACCCTGTCTGTAAATTCAGCTACACTATGAGGTATTGGGGATTACGACTTTTACATACAAATTTGGTGTGAGGGCAGGGGCGATATAACCCTGACAGCATCTTGTATTCTTTTGACACATATGTGCCTCACATGTTATGGTAGTTAATTGTATTGAGGCATATCATGTGCCAGGCACTATTGCAGGTGATATACAATTAATATATTGAGTCCTTAGGACAAATGATAATTATATCTAATGAGGGGATGGGTTGAGGAAATGGGGTAAAAAAGGTTGAGTGAATTATTCAGGATCATGCTGGTAATGAATGAGCCAGGCTTTAAACTCAGACAATCTGATTCAAGAATGCACACACATATAGCTCTTGACTCAAGAGGAAATAATCTTCAGTTTATCACAGTATCTTTATGTAGAATCTCTTAATTTTGCATGTTAAAATTTAAACCCCTGGAGTTGTTCTGATATGTGGAATGCAGAAGGGATGGAGAGCAGCCTCTCCAGGCCTGAGTCTCCTCTCAGGGTTCACTCAGAGTTTGCTTGGATTATGACTTGGGAGGGGCTCCCTGCCCAGTTCAATTAAGTTTATGCACCTGCTTCTCTGTGGGTGCGGGGCCTCTGTTGTCCAGGCCCTCTTTCAAACACCTCTGTTCAGTTCCTTGGACAACCCATTCAATCTGGGATTTACTACTTCTCCATCGGCTCATTCATTCATTGCCTCTTATATGAACCAGTCTCTAGTGTAGACATTGAAGACAAATACAACTTTGCATTGTTCTTCCTCCACCTGCACCCCCTACCCTGCCCACTGACCCACCTGCCATAGATTTTAGTCTCTTCTTTGCTTTTGCCTGGGATTGACAGTCAGTCTCTTCTCTAGTTTCCTGCATGGGGCTGGTGAATGCTTTAGATCCATGTGGGTTGAAGAGGGGGCTAAAGGAAGCCTCCCTCACCCTTGGCCTTTAGGTCAGACTTCACAAGGCACTCAGGTCTTCCATAACCTGGAAAGGGAGAGCCTCTTGGGTCACCCTGACTCATCTCAAGAGTCCTTGGTCCCCCTTTTAGCTTTGACTTTTGTTATAAAAAACCCTCTTCTGATTTCTTAACTGTTACTTCCTGAGCTTTTTTTGGAAGTGTGGTAGGTTAGTGCTAGGCTATAGGTGAGGGAGGAGAGAAAAATAAAATGGTCCTGCCCTCCTGAGCTTACCAAAGATCTCTACCAACTTTGGATTATTTCTTCTTGCACTTCAAGTTTCTTCATTCTAGTCTACTATAGTGGCTTGCAACAGAGGAAAAGACACACTGCCTCTAGGGAGGCATGTTGGAGCCACCTAGAGAGGGAACTTTGGCCAATTTACTTGCCCCTCTGAAGATTCAGAAAAGTCCTCAGCCATGGGGAGCCACTGTTACTGATGGGTAGGGTCATGTTCCTTAGGTGTTGGGACAATAAAAAAGTAGAGCATAGGCTATCCAGTCCATGGTTTCTGTCTTTATTTGCCCTTAGTGTCTTCACTTTTGCTTTTGGAATCTTCTCCAACTATATTTCACTGTTCAGGGTCACACCTCACTACTGCTCATTCACTTTCACCTGAAACTCTGGCCTTGGGCCCTCCTGTCAGGTGTCCAGCTATTGACCATCCAGGTCTCGAGCCTTGAATTTCTCCTCTCCCTCTGTCCTGTCAACCTGGTCTCAGCTGACGTTTGACAGATACTCACTTGAACTTGGGAGGTAGAGGTTGCAGCGAGCTGAGATGGTGCCACTGCACTCCAACCTGGGTGACAGAGCAAATATAAGACAAAGTAGCTACCATCTGTGTGACAGTTCATGGTTACAAAGCACATTTACTTACATTATCTTGACTATAACAACTGTCCGATCAGAAGGCTCAAAGAGGTTACATAACCAAAATCACAAAAGTAGTAGAGCCAGGACTCAAACTTGGGGCTTCTGATTCCAACGGTAAGCATGTGGCCCAGGGCAGATGTCTGGCGCTACCAATCTAGACACTTTTTTTTTCCACAGAACCTGTATTTAACTTTCTGCACAGCAGATTAGCCAGTTGTGGCCAATCAATCTGAGTTGGCATATGAATGTGAAACTTTTTAACCATCCCAAACTACAGCATGCATGTGATCATAACTAGGAGCAGGACTGACTTGACTCAGTGATGGGTGAGGCTTCCTTCAACTGCATTGTTCAACGGTTAGGATTGGCTCTAGATACAGTATGCTTGTAGATGAGGGCTGAGTACAGTTTTTGGCCGTATGTATCAACAATTGCATATAAATGAATTGGAGAAGGGGAAATTTTGCTTTTATAAGAAGAAGTCTGGTAATGGGAGGTTGCCAGGTTGTAGGCCTCAGCAGCTCAATGATATTAGGGATCTGAGTCTTCCATCTTGTCTTTCCTTCCCTTGGCTTTCCCCTCACAATTCACCAACTCCAGGCATCACAGCCTTACCCAACTGCACTTAGAGGCAGAAAGAAAGGAGGAGGGGGCCTTCTTACATGTCTCTGTTTTTATCGGGAAAGACCTTTTTCAGTAGTCCCTGGTGTATTTCAGGAGACCTAAGTCAGGTCTTTTGGAGCAGAAATGGGTCACATTCCTACAACCTACCTCAAGGAAAGCTTGCATTTTCTAGTATCTCTCATGGGGTTAGGGTTCTGCCATCTAGAAATAAGGAAACTTCAGGAGCTAGAGCTCACAGGCTGTTTTCAGTCACCTGTGGTTTTATCCTTTCTGAGATAATTTTGCAGACATTGACACCAGATAACACCATGCACCTGCCTTTCCCCCCAGGTCTCCCAGTTACCTCGTCTAACATGAAGGCTTTACCCTGTGCTCAGTGTTTTGTGTCTCATCTCCTCTATTACATGGTAAATGCTTTTCTGGCCAGGCAGTGCCTTTTTGGTTTTTGTATCTCCCACAGCACTACCTCAGGGTTCACTCAACATTTGATGTGGGTGATCAATAAATGGTAGTTGAGTAAATGCAGTACATCGGTGACCTTTCTAAAATGCAAATTTGATCATGTCAACCACTGATTAAAACCTTCAGCAGTAGGATCCAGAATCCCAAAGGAGCTCATAACAGGCCCTCCATTATGTGGCCTTACCTTTTGTTTCTTCCAAGCTTCCCTATCACAAAAACTTACAAATATTCAGAAAAGTACCATGACCACCTGTATGCCTACAACTTAAGTTCAGTGATTGTGAACTTTCTGTCATATTTAGTTTGTCTGTTTTTGTGTGTGTATATATGTTGATTTTGCTGAACCATTTGAATTAGTTGCATGGTGCTTCACCCCTAAATATTCAGCGTGGATCTCATTAAAAATAAGGATACTAGCTGGGCATGGTGGCAGTTGCCTGCAATCCTAGCCTCTTGGGAGTCTGACAGAGGAGAATCGCTTGAACCTGGGAGGTGGAGGTTGCAGCGAGCTGACATCATGCCACTGCACTCCAGCCTGGGTGACAGAGAGAGTGAGAGAGACTCTTTCTCAAAAAAAAAAAAAAAAAAAAAAAAAAAGGGTTACCACATAATCACAAGATCACTATAAGGCTGGAAATTGATTCCCAAATACCATCTAGTATCCAGTCCATATTTAGATTTCTCTATTGTTCCCAAGGTTATCTTACCCTATTAGTTTTACAATCAGGATTTAATAATATTCAGGCATTCCATTTGACTGCTGTATCTCTTTAGTCTTTTTAAAATCAAGATAATCCCCCCCACCTTTTAAAATTTTCCCACTCATGACATTGACTTGCCTTCGGCTGGTATTCTGGTATGAGAAGGGTCTTTCATCATCTGGCAGGGAACTATATTTTCTCCTAAAAAGGCAGTGCAAAGACTTAATTCCTTCCCTTTAATCACCTATTTTCAGCATCAGAAGTCAGTATAATAATAACCTCTAGTGGTCTCAAGTAAGGGGATGATTTCTTTACTGTCATTACAAGCGTGTGGATTTTTATTTATTTAATATTTACGGTCAATTACAGTCAACTGTTCAATTGACCTATATTTTGGCCATAACCAACATTTACCAAACTCCTCTCATCTTTGTATCTAACTATCTCCCCTTGCCATCCTGCACTGTGCTCCAGCCAATACGAACCATATCTGGTTCTCTGAACAATCATATTTACACAAGCTGTTTGCTCTGCAAGAAAGCCCTTTCAGATACGGCTCAGATATACTTGTTCTGTGCCGTTATTTTTAATCTTTCAAGGCTGAATTAATCCTTCCCTTTTCTTTACTTCTACAATGTTTTGTCCACACTTCAATCTGCAGTAACAATGTAATGACTTGTACTTAGCTGTTTACCTGCCTGCTCCCACCAGAGACCATGTGATCCTTAGATCACAGAAGAATAACAACAAACAGTATGTGCTAATCATTTTTGTATTCCCACAGCTCAGTGGCCTACACATAGTAGGTGCTCATTAAGCACTGAATGAATAAGCAAATGAATGGTCCTTAGAAACTGGTGAAGGCATCAGTGACAAACTACAGAGAGGTTAGAAGAGCCCAGGAGTAGAGATTGGGAATAACTTCAAGTGAAGGAGAAGCATGAACCTAATAGAAATGGATTAAAAGAGATGGGAGAGGGAAGCTATTACCTGCACAAAGCCTTGGGCAAAAAACACAGTGGCACCAAATCACTGTCACATTGGAAATCAGGCAGGGAAATGGAAGAGAGCAGGAAAGGAAATGAAAAATGTTGGAAATCTATCATGTGCACTGCTTTAGTAGTGTTCTACAGCACATGAGTCTGTGATTGAAAACAAGAAAAAGCAAAGCCAATGTGATTCTGGACAGTGACTTTCCCAGGGATGATTTCTCTTTCTCTATACAGAAATATGTATATATAATCTGCAATCTCCTAAGAGGTCCCTTGAATTTAAATGACTCCAGAAAATTGGGGTAGAACAAAAACAATCTCTAAAAGTGGTTTCACTGAAAATCAAGCTGGACAGGAGGTTAAACCTGCAGAGTGGAACAGAGTGAGTAAATCCAGGGGAAAGTTACTTTGAGCTTCAATACTAAATAGACTGAATTCCAAGACTAGGTGGAAAATATGATCATCAAAGCCCAGTGCTGCTTTTCCAAGTGCTGTGGCACTAGATGATTTGTGACACAATTCAGGGCACTTAGAGGGGGACAAGAGTGCAAGATGAGGCATTTGGAACCCGGGCACCTTCTGGAGGTGGTTATGATTACAGAGCAGATTGTCCCTAAGGCAGCAAGGCTGTGGGGCCCCAGCATATCATCAGGAGATCTCTTCATCTTCTGCTTTGAAAACCTGTCTTGCTACTAGTGCCACCTGTGGCTTGAGGATCATTTGTTATCCTTCTAGCATTTGTGAGGGACACTGAGTCCCCACAAGCTTACATGCCATTCTCTCAGCAAGAGATCTTATCTGACTTTCAGTAAAATGATACTTCCACTCCTGCTGCTCACTTTGTACTCCTTCTAACAGCTCCTTCCTCTTTTCCTTGATAGGATTTATGATTCATCATTATGATTTTGTCTCTGAGTTTGTTTCTTCCTTTAGACTGTAAGCTCTTAAAGATCTTTGCTGCTGGATCTCAAATGCCCACACATAGGAGGTATCTGACAAATATTTTGGACTAGTGCAAGTGTTGATCCTATGAGCCATGGCCAATTAAGATGGTGGGTGGGCCATGCCTTGGGGTTGTCCTTTGGCAGGAGGAGATGATCCCTTCCTAATATACAGGGGGACTCGGAGAGTCCATTTTATGGAGT